GTTATAATATTCTAGTCTTTACGAGAAAAAGCAGGCAGTTACCACTGCATTAAAATGAGGAATGTTTCTCTTTAGTATTGCTATAAAAAAATATTTAATCTTTTAGCTCATTAGCATCAAATTATCAGTAGCAGGACTTGGAAATTGTGCAAACGACTATAAACTGAAGCTGTATTGTGATTAATGGATGCAGTGACAGATTTAGTCGTCACGTAGCTAATTTGGATGAAAGCATATTAATCTAACAGTGACCTGAGTCATCACTTTATAAACACAGASACATGGCTGTATAGGTGTGAGGAAAATAAGGAGGAAATGAGGAACGGGAAGTAGACACGTCATGATTATGACTTTTTTCTCGTAATATTATGTCTTTAATCTCATAATATTATGAGTTTAAAGTCGTAATATTGTGATTTTATTCTCATAAAATTATGATTTTATTCTCATAAAATTACGACTTTAATCTCGTAATAAAAAAACCTTGTTGTGTGGCCCTAATATTCCATCAAACAAAACACACATTAAATAAAGTTCAGAAAACTAAGACAACTGCATTCAGGTGAGGCGAGGTTTACCTGAGAGGTGGAGAAGGCCGAGGAGCCTTTAAAGCTCTGAGGTCCGCCCCCTCTCCGTCTGGGACTGCGGACTTCGGCGTAGCCCGTCACGTCGCTGGTCTGTTTCTGCTGAGCCCACCCTGAGGAAGAGGAGGGTGGATTATAAGCCGTGCGTTCTGTTGGCAACGAATCAAGTCTAGTTACAAAAATAAAAGCCCCGAGCCTGCAGTAAGCCGACACTTTGTCGTCAATAAAAAGGCGACGACTGATGAGTTTTTGCTGTTTGTCTCTGACTGAAGGYTCTATCAGCGGCGAGTCGGTGTCGTCATTCAGACTAAGTGAGGCTTTGCTGTGAACAGATGGTGGAAAAACATCTGCTGGGGGGAAAAAAATCACACGTTTGTTTCTCAGATAAGAGTCTGTTCGAGGTACAAAACCTTCTCTATAGAACAGAGAAAAAAAATCTGGTTTTTTTTGTAAAATATTTATAAAATCTGTTGATTTGAGCTTGYAGCATCATTACCAACAAGTAAGATCGTCTCACTTTTGGTGTTTTAAAACAAAGTAAACGCAAAAATATTGATGATTTCATTGTTCAGAACCAAAAACCAACAGTACTGTTGGCTTTTAACTGCTGTTATCGACTCATTCTACATGAAAACGTTTCTACGGAGGTAAATTAGTCTCAAAAAGATTCACACCGTAATGCTGCATTCAAGGCTGGTAAAAAAGTTGGGATATTTGAGCTTTACCACATTAACTGGGTTATTAGAAACAACTTGTTTCTGACTTGGTAGCTCAAAACGCACGCTACTGTACATCTGAACTAAACTACTTAAAACTACATTTTTATTTATCTGTAGTTTTTACAGAGAAATGCTGGTAAATATGTTTCCAGTAATTTTTTGTAGAAGAATAACGTTATAAGTCTGAGTAGTTATTTCAAATGTTCAGTACACGTAATAAAATACAAGAAATTGTTGTTTTCTGGTAGTTTTTTTCACAATAATAAACTTTAAAGCTGACGTAAATATCTAAAAGGGTAAGTTAATCTTTTTTGGTAAGTGTCTGTGCAGTGGTGGGCACAGCTAACCAAAAACTTAGCTTCACTAACTCTTAATCTGCTAACTAAAAATATAGATTTGATAACGCTAAAATACCAAACAAGTAAAAATTAGTGGAATTTAGCWTTAACCGTTAATTGCTAGCAGTTAGCTTTGACTGTCACTCAGTCTCTGTCACAGGCTTTTGTCTTCAAGCTGAAGACTGGTGGGACGGACTCAAACTCGTTGATGTTAGCYTGTTAGTTAGCTGTTAGCGGACTTACGGTTGGCAAAACCTTGTATACCAGAAGCTAATTGGTCTGCTAAYGGCTTTCAAAGTTGTGAAATGCTATTTCACTAACTAAATATGTTGGTTCACTAACGCTAATCTGCCAAACATGTAAAAAAAAATAGTGGAAATTAATGCTAAACAAGTAAAAACTGGCAAAACCCAAGATTAAAAGTTAATCGYTAACCACTAAGATGACTGTCACTCAGTCTGCMTCACACATCTTTGTCTCCTCCGCGCTGAGCACTGGTGGGACTGACTCAACCCTGTTGATTTTAGCTTGTTAGCTGTTAGCAGACATAAAAACWGCAAAACTTAATTTACCAGACACTATTGAATCCACTAACATTTTTTAAAGCTACAAAAATGCTATTCTAACTAAAAGTGTAGGTTCACTAACGCTAAGCTGCTAAACRTGTAAAAAAATTATCAGAAAATAATGCTAAACWAGTAAAAATTAGCAGAAGCTAACATTAACAGCTAATCGCTACAATGACTTTCACGCAGTCTACATCTTCTGAGCTGAAGACTGGTGGGACTGACAAACCAGTTGCTGTTAGTTTGTTAGTTAACTGTTAGTGGACTTGGAGTTAGCAAAACCCTATTTAGAGAAAGATAATCAGTCCRCTAATGTTTTCAAACATTAGTGAAAAAGATAATCCATTAAAGGATTATTGAGTTTCGCTATTAACTGTTAGCTGATTAGCGAAAACACACACATCAATTTGTACGTATTTTAATATAAGGTTTGTTTCAAATTTTAATACATCTAGTGATTTCAGGGTTTCTGCAGGGCATTAAAAAACTTTAAACCCTTTTGGTCGATGCGCAGAAACAAAACATTCAAATGAATATTCCAGCTGAAGTGGCCGAAGACAAAATATTTAGTAAATGGCGCAACCCGTCAATCATCTGGATGGAGAAGGATTTTATGGATTTTATTAAAAAATTACAAAAAAAATTTTTTTTTAAAGGTTGATCTTGGGGTGAATGGGCCAAAGTGGACCGAATGAACCAGAGTGTTGTAGTAACAGAGATGAAACAGTCCACACATGAAAAGAAAAATCTAACTAAAGCACATGATTTAATCTTTTTATTTAAAATAAAGTAAAAAAAAAAGGGTGAATTTTGTACAAATTCCCAGCAAATTCTGGCCCAAATTACGCAGATGATTTGAAAATTTGCACATTTTCTCGCAGTTTTGTCTCTACAGCCTTAAAAATCAGCATCAGACAATAAAAAACATAATTGATCTTTTACTCTGATCTGATCTGTAATTATTTTATGCAAGGATTTAATGAAATATTTAAAAATCGTGACTTTTATTCTGTAGTCATTTACAGTTTATTTTATTTTTTTAACATTAATTCAGATTTCAGTTTGAATTAACTTATATTTTGCTTAAATTGTCCAGTTTTAACTTCTTTCACGGATACCCAAAACAGCCCTGTGTTGGTTCAGTACTGACAATATTTACTAAACCAGACTGTAAACTTTTTAATTTATACAATAAACAAATCAAAAAACACAGATATCTCTCCATGTTTTGCTTTAAACCAGTTAGAAATCTATGTCAGAATGATTTACTGTAGAAACGACAGCTCGACTTTCATTCTTCGCTTCTGCAGATTTGCCTGAAAGCAAAGCTAAAATCACTGAAAGTAATCCGGCTACTGTTCCAGGAGCAGATCAGCCGAAGTCTGGTTTGGTTGAGACTCAAGTGTCACCTCATGTCCGTCGCATTTTATTATCTTTTGAAGAAGATGATGAGAGGGCGAAGGCTCTGTGTTTGTGTCAAAACCTCAAAAGCATTCCTGACCTCTTACAAGTTCAAAAAAAAAAAACCACTCAGGGTGATGAAGTCACGGCCTCGGGGGAGACGTCAGCCTCGACTGCTCGAGCTCCACTTCCGGAACACTTCGAGACCCGACCCCCCCACAGTCGGGTCTCGGTCAGCAGACTTACGTGGTCTTTGAATCGGTCCAGTTATGTAACTTCCAGCGTTGTATATTCCCATTTAGATGAAAACAGACTGTAAACACATCAACGTGTCGCAGGCAGAGGACCTGATTTTACTCAGTTTGTTCAGCAAAGTTAYGATGAACTGTTTATTCAAAAGCTTYCACCCTTTCAGCAAACACRACGCTCTTTCAAAAACCCCGTTTTCCACTTCCAGGTGGRAATGTTTTTATAAAATTGACACAGAGAGAAGCGGGTGTGTTTTGCCACACGCAGAATGAATGTTCAGTTTACCTGGAAAGTTTGTGAATTTAACAGACTGTTGTCCTCTGGTTGACCACAGCGGCTCCAAAAACAACCAGAGCAAACATTACACCAAAGCGACGCCTCAGTTGGAGGTCCTACAGCTTGGCTCTGGACACATTACTGTATGTTTAGACTACCAAAATAAAAGCTGTCCAATCTAAGGTTGAGCAAAATCGTATTGTGTGCATTTAATCATCAGAAAAACTGTAATAATAGTTGTTGTTTACCAATTATTATGATTAGTGACTTATATAAGTCATTGTGAAGTTAACGCTAATGCAGAGCTAGAGCTAATGTGGAGCTAATGCTAACCCTGTCATTGATTAATATTTGGTACTTCAACAATTATGATTAGTGACTTATATGTCATTGTGAAGCTAACGCTAATAACTATTATGATTAGTGACTTATATAAGTCATTGTGAAGCTAACGCTAATAACTATTATGATTAGTGACTTATATAAGTCATTGTGAAGCTAATGCTAATGCAGAACTGGAGCTAATGTGGAGCTAATGCTTACCTTCGCATAGATTAATATTTGGTACTTTCCAATTATTATGATTAGTGGCTTATGTGTCATTGTGAAGCTAATGCTAATGCAGAACTGGAGCTAATGTGGAGCTAACGCTAAACCTGTCATAGATTAATATTTGGTACTTTTCAACTATTATGATTAGTGACTTATATAAGTCATTATGAAGCTAACACTAATGCTATTATGATTAGTGACTTATATAAGTCATTATGAAGCTAACGCTAATACTCTTATGATTAGTGACTTATATAAGTCATTATGAAGCTAATGCTAATACTATTATGATTAGTGACTTATATAAGTCATTGTGAAGCTAACGCTAATGCAGAGCTGGAGCTAATATGGAGCTAACGCTAAACCTGTCAGTGATTAGTATTTGGTACTTTCCAATTATGATTAGTAACTTGTAAGTTATTGTGAAGTTAACACTAAGGCAGAGCTTGGGCTAATGTGGAGCTAACGCCAACATGGAGGTGACCCTAACAAGAGCTAACACTAATGCTAACATGGAGCTAATACCAACATGGAGATGACACTAAGCCAGAGCTAATACTAACACAGAGCTAACATTAACACAGAGCGAATGCTAAAGCTAAGAGGGAGCTAATGCAGAGTTGGAGCAAATGCTAATGTGTAGCTACACAGATAACGCCAACATGGAGCTAATGCTACTATGAAGCTAAGTATAGATTTAAAACACAGGGTAACTGATTTACATTTAAAAACATGTAACCTGTTAATCCTCATGTGAATTGTTATCGGATAACAAATAATTGCAAGTAGGGGTCTCTGCGGACGAGTGGGCGTGTCCCAACGAAAGGCCATTCTAAAGCGACACACCTGATTTGATGGACTTTTTTAAAGAGACACACCGGAATGGACAAGCAAAAAANAGATAACCCCTTCTCAATAATTGGGGTTCATTGTTTTGGTAACATTGCTCCACCCTAGTCCAGACTGCCTCTGAAGGTGGTCTGAGAGAAGATGTTTTCAACGAGACTTGTTTGAAGTTGAGTGAAAGTTTACCTGACTGATGGGTCCGTCCTTTGAGGCTGAGGCCGTTGGTGTTCAGGGAGGCAGAGCGGGACAGCGGGGAGCAGCGTGTCGGAACAGGAACAAACGTGGGATCCAAGTCCAGAATCAGCTGGTTCAGCTGCTCGATGGACTCATCGATGTCTGTGGTCAGTGATGCCAGCTCATCTTCCTGACAGCTCGAGGCGGCGTCGGCAGACCGGGGGGTCTCCTCGAACGTCAGGCCTCTCTTCACCGCCGCCCGGCTGCTGAGTCCTCGAGGTGGGGTTTCAGGGATGGCCAGGGGCGGCGGTCTGTTCGACCTCCCCTGAGCGCCCAGCGGAAGCAGACCGCCATCGACGGTGTCCACCATCTGCTGCTGCCGCACCCAGGAGCGAGTGGCGCACTGGGCAGGTTTCTGGGTCCCGAGCGTGTTTTCCGAGGACAGGGAGCGGTTAGAACCCGGTCCTGCCTCGTCCTCGTCGTCTAGGATGTCCGTCTCCCTCTCGCTCGACGAAGCCTCTCCGTTGACGGTGCGTCCGAGCCCGGACTCATCTCTGTCCCCGCGACGAGACAAAACAAGTTCCGTCATGACCCCCGGACGAGGCTCCGAGTCTGCCCCGAATATCAGCTTCCCTCCCTGGACCCACTGGTCCTGGGACGCCCCTCTCTTCTGTCTGGTGTCGGTGCGGCCCTGCGAGGTCACGGACAGGCCCGAGTCGCTGCTGGCGGACGGCGCTCGGTCGCTGCAGCTCGGACTGCTGGTGGTCGGGGCCGGTTCAAGGAGGTGAGGAGGACCTGGAAGGAGACACGAAGCGGATTTTTACAATTTCAGTCAAACGTCCCTTTTTTTAAGTTGAATTTTTGATTCATTTCCTGCTTTTTGGTCCCTTTTTTTTCTCCTCAGTTAGTTAAATTTTTGCACCTAAACTCCACACCTGCATAGGTTTGCAGACACACTGTGCAGATAAAACGGGCCTCTTTGTGAGTCAGTCTCAGGAAGGACGTCTACCTGAGGTCAGATCCAGCTGATTGTGTGTTGACGCACGCACAAGTTTTCACAACAAAAGGTCATGGGATCTGCAGGCCAGTAGAGAACGAAAATAAAAACTCAAAACGTCTTCATCTTAAAGTTCTGAACAGGAGTTTCTCCTATTTTACTTCAGACTGGTGAACCCCTGTCCATCTTTACGTCTTCAGCTGCAAAAAGTCAAAACCTGTCCCAACTTTCCCAGGATCCAGGCTGCAAACCGTGGTGAAGAAAAGGCCGTACAGTACCAGCAACAACACGCGCAGTGGAGCTCAGACCACAGCTGGAACAGCAGCCTCTGGAGTCCAGAGA